AAATTGGTATCTGACAATTACAAATAAACACATAATACAGAGTGATATAATATTAACAAGTTATATATAATTTATACCCACACTTTGATTTTCTTTTACTATGCGGAGACTGGTCGCACTGCGCAGCTTCCTGAGTGCCTTTTAAAAGGAGATAGAAAACTCCGCCATTTTGATCCCTTATTACGCGTTGCCTACATCTTGGCCCAATATTTTTAATAGGTGCATTTTAATCATCCGCTTCTGCTTCGGAATTGTCGGTTTTCTTGTTTTACTCTGACAGGTTAAAACGACTAAACCGACAATTCCGGAAGCAGAAGCAGATGATTGGGCGTGTCGGACCTCTCTCTTGCACCGTATAGTAATCAAAGTATGTGACATAAGGCCATTAATGCAGGAGAGGTTATTCAGAAAAGGCACATTGCTACAGGAAAGGTTCATACTTAATGTCAAAAAAAATCAACTTTAATGATTTGATGTCGAATCGACCTATACTCTAGAGCTATCGGGTTATGTGATAGAGTTTATTGTCGAATTTCGTTGAACGGAATTGCAATTCTGGAGTTTGATATCAAAAATTCGAGTAGAAATCGCTTTTCATAATTCGATCGAATTATGAATCGTATCGAGATCGAGTTACTCGACACAGAACGGAATCCCACCCCTGGATAACCTCAATAAAATCGACCTAGATCTTGTACTAAAAATGACATGAAAGTCAAAACTAAAGGTAAGTTTATATGGTGGTTACAATATTGCCACACACCTTCAGTTGTTGCAAATACCTCACCTTCGGCAAGTCCTGTAGCCGGCCCAAGAGGTTTAACTTTCATTACCCAGAGTAAGAAAATAAATACTGGTTTAAAGAACAAATTTCCGAAAAAAAAATTGTTAAAAGACTTCTTCTGACACTGACAGATCCTGTTGAATTGCAAAAAGTGTATGAAGATAAAGCTACAGATGATGAAGACTAAACCATACAGATTAAAAACAAATCATTCGAAGAAATATATATCCTACACCTAAATACAGGGTGTTCCATCTCAGACGAGCCACCCCGTATATTTCTTATCCCATAGTAATTGGAAAATTTTCCTGAAACACGTTAGATGATTTTCTTTGGGGACATCTTTTGACGTATATTTGAGGCTTGAACGAGCAGCCCCCTCTGAGGGGGCGCTTTAACCCCATAAAATTGAATAGGGAAGAGGGGTTGAGTAATACTTTATTTGTAAGGTCTTGGAAGTCTCTTTACAGCGGTGTATGAAAAAAATCACATTCTTAAAGAAAATAATTGTTTTATCATGCTTGCAAGCAAAAAAATCAAAACTGTGTTTATAAATCAAATGTTCAAATTTTCCTCCATTGACTTCCATACAATAATAAATTTTCTCGAACTAATAAATAAAAAAAAATCAAAACATTTTCTTATATTGCCTTCATTTTTTGTTCTTAGAAGGTGTTTATCACGTTTCTTCGATCATTTCATCTGTGATAAAACAATTAATTTTTTTTAAGATTGTGATTTTTTTCATACACCTTTGTAAAGAGGCTTCCAAGACCTTACAAATGAAGTATAACCTAACCCCTCTTCCCTATTTAATTTTGAGGGGTTGAAGCGCCCCCTCATAGGAGGTTGCTCGTTCAAGCCTTAAATATACGTCAAAAGATGTCCCCCAAAGAAAATCATCCGATGTGTTTCGGGAAATTTTTCCAATTACCATGGGATAAGAAATATACGGGTGGCTCGTCTGAGATGGAACACCCTGTATAAACCGAAGCAGAGAAAAAGAAAGAAACAGAAATTAAAAATTTTGACCTCGACACCCATGAAGGAATAGTTGAAAGAAAAAGAAGTCAAAGAACAACAGAAAGCAGGTGGTACTGTCAAGAAATGCGTACTGTGTGAAGATAAAAAAACTAGAGAGTCAAACAAAAAGTAGAAACAGGAGACGAAGATTGATAAGAAAAACGTTGTTAAAGTAATAGAGGAAGAAACACCATCAACATGTTATGTATGTGGTGAATTCGGCGTAGATAATAAAGAATGGTGGCGACGTAGATCATGTGCCACATGGTTTCATGCCATTTGTACCACTGCAGAATGTGTATAAGACCTTCCATCATGTAATTATTGCGAGTAACTATTATTGGGGGATATTTCCCATGAGTAGTCGTCTACTGTCGACCCAGCAATCAAACCCTCTGTGAGAAGTTTAATTGTCTTTACTTACCTACCTTATACATCAGTCAATGTATTCACATTAATATATGTTTATTTTGTAGTTACCTATTTATAATATTTATCTATTTATATTAGGTGGTCGATATTAGATCTATAGAGCGAAGGTAAGGAAACGATGATCTAGAGCCAGACGCAGCAATTGCAGTTTCCTTATGCAAAACAGATTAAAAAAGAGACGAAAATGTATCAACTTCACGAATAACACCTTTTTTGAGTAAAAAATTTTGGGATATAAGCGATAATATTATCGTACTCATAAATATATTAATAACAATAATTTTACATTTAGTCTTGTAGACGTGGATGCTGTTATGAAAACATTTGTTGAAGTTAAATCGAATGCCAGTGGAGCAGACAACATCTCTCTGGATATGCTTAAATTATGTATGCCAGTCATTTTACCGTATATTACACATATTATTAACTGTTGTTTAGAACAAGGTTATTTTCCTGATCAGTGGAAAAAAGCAGTTGTTGTACCAGTGGCTAAAAAAAATAACCCTAAATCATTCAACGATTTGAGGCCTATAAGTTTGCTTCCGGTTCTCTCTAAAGTTTTAGAGAAGATTGCGTATAAGCAAATTTATAGCTTTCTCACTTCAAATAAAATATTGCCCTTACACCAATCAGGATTTAGGAAAGGACACAGTACGACAACAGCTCTATGTCACTTAACTGATTCTATAATAACTGGATTGGATGATAGTCAAGCTACAGCTCTTGTGTTGCTTGACTATAGTAAAGCATTTGACACCCTCAACCATCTGCTATTAATCTCTAAATGTAGTTACTATGGTTTTAGTGACAAATCTCTTAATTTTATTAAATCTTATCTTAGTAATCGCTCACAAAAAGTCCAAATAAATAATCAGTCATCTGGATTTGAGTCCATAAAATCAGGCGTACCACAGGGCTCCGTCTTAGGTCCCTTACTCTTTCTTCTGTATACGTCAGACTTGTGTGAAGAAACTCTGACATGTAAAATCCAGTTTTTTGCTGACGATACCCAACTACACCATTCATTTCATTCCATTAATGCAGAGGTAGCAAGTAAAGCGGTTAATAAGGACCTAGCTAGAATAAAAACATTTTCCTTGGATCATAATCTGCATTTAAATCCATCAAAATCCAAATCAATCATATTTTCTAATGCCCAATCTCGATCTTATATTAAAAATAATTTTTCCATAAAACTTGATGATGAGACAATTCCTATGGTACATGTAGCCAGAAGTCTGGGCTTACTACTGGATGAGAATCTTCGATTTATTGAACATATCAACAGTTTGTCCACTCAATGTTATCTAATTCTCAAACTTCTATACGCTAATAAAGATTTGCTCTCAATGAATATGAAAAAATACTTATGTGAAACTCTAATCCTTAGCAAAATTTCTTATTGTCATATAATTTTTTATCCTTGTCTAGATTCAATAACATCTATAAGGCTTTAAAAAATTCAGAATACATGTTGTCGATACATATTTGGTTTACGCAAATATGATCATATTTCCCAAAGCTTTAAAGAACTTCGGTGGCTAAATATTAGTAATCTGTATAAGTATCATTTGCTATCATTGGTGCACAAAATAATACACACTCAAAGTCCAATATATCTCTCTCGTAGGTTAATTTACAGAAATCAAATGCAAAATATTAATGTACGTGAGCAATCCACGTTAACAATGCCCCGCCACACACATGCTATTTTTGAACGCAGTTTCTCTTACTGTGCTATTAAATATTACAATGAACTTGACAATGATTTAAAGAATACCCATTCATATACTGGTTTCAAGCGTAAGCTCAAAAATATCCTGCTTCATCAACAACGATGATCAAATTAAATTGTGTATACAAATTGTGTTATTTTTAGTTTAATTTATTAATATGTAATTCAATTATTATTTATTTGCATTAACAGTTTAGTTAAATGTTTGTTTTTTTTTTTTAATTTTTATTATAGGTTTATTATAGTTTTTGTTTTTATAATATTATTTATCGATCCTGTTACTAAAAGGGTTAGATGGAAGAATAGCTGTAGGCTAAATCTCGCCCTTACATTGCATTTTTGTAATTTTCAAAAATTTTAATAAAGACGTTTTATTATTATTATTATTATTATTATTATTAATATTATTACGTTTAATACAATCATGGTTAATAAGAGAATTTGCAATTGAGTAAGTATTAAAAATTACTTTAACTCTATTTCTACCCACTGATTTTATGTCCAAAATGTCGTTTTTAATTGTAGATTCGGAAAGGAAAATAATGAGCTACACGAACTGGAAATAATCTACCAATATTTTTGTCTAGATGTTCAACAAAAACAATATAAAGGCCTAAATCAGATTAAAAAAAAGACGAAAGACTAAGTAGGTAGTAAAAACTAAGCCTATAAACTTAAAGAAGAAGTAGCAAACTCTTATATTATTTTTCCATTTACATAAAATAAAAATTAAAGCGAATTTTTGGATTTTTCCAATTGTTTCTGGAATTTTCCAATTGTTTGTTTATGAAATGATTGTGAATAAAGTGTTATACAAACTTTGGTAGAATTTGAAAAATAACTCTAATTTAGTTGAAAATGCTTTTTATCAAATTTTCCTAACAATCCTAGTTTATATTATTTTATTTTGCAGTGCCAACGCCTATGTCTCTATAAACTATTTTAGAAATAACCTTTAGGTACGCCAATGGTTAACAAAGAAAAAGTTTTATCAAATCAAGATAAAGTAAAGGACTACTTGTTCGTCTCTTACAGACATTAACACTATGAATCAATAAGCAACTGTCCAAATGTTTAATTTTAAATAAATAAATGCAAAAACTTTTTTAAAAAAAAATTGACGAGTTTTAAAAATGTGTACGAATTTTTTCTTCAACACAACCTCCTCGAGGGTGGCTCAAAGTAAGTACAATATTATCTGTTTATTAATTTTAAAGTTGTATGAAACAATCATTTTACTTGTAGTAAATAGGTAAAAAATGTGTTTTATTAAAAATACGCCTTTAGATCGATTTTAACATTTTTAAAAGTATTTTAAATTGTTATTTTGTTTATATAGTAAAGTGCAAAACTAAATTAGATCAATTACACTCATTTTAGTTATTAATATTGTGGGAGGTATTTTTTAATTTTTATTAAATAATTTATCAGCTTAGTTGATAGAATTATTATTGTTCTGTTGATTTGACGTCTATAAAAGAAATTGGTCAGATAAATGTAAAAAAAATGCATTCCAAGCTGCAATGAGCTATAAGTAATCACAATCATATTTTTTTAATAGTCCATAGGAAAATTTATCATTTACAAAGTAGCTACGATAGCAAAAAATTTTCCGTTCAGTTATCACTGAAGGCAGTGGCATGTACCAATAAACCTAGAGAATGTATATTTTGTTGTCCAATGTATGCTTTTATTTTTTCTTTTAATCCCATCTGTGTGTATTATGAGAATAATGAAATAGAAAAATAATTAAGTTGTTGGGTCTTTATTTTTATTTACTGATAATATATTTTTAAATTTATGTAGGTAGTTGTAGATGTGAATTTTAAATAAATTATTAGCGACCTATAATAAACATTTCTGTTCTATAATTCGATGGTTTCGGAGAATAAAGGGATAAGTCCAAATCTGTTACTTTTCAGGAAAATTGATTGAAGTTGAAGGGCTGATTTTCAATAAGCATGAATTCATATACAGGGTGGTTACTGTTACAGTATATAACCAATGAAATATTCTAAACGGCACAAGATACAGTGTTGATTAAATTAGAAAAGTTGCGCTATTTCATGTAAGGAACAATGTTATATATCGGAAGACATGTAACATTTATAATCCTATTGTAATCTTTAATATGCTTCATTATTACCGCTTATACAGGGTGTTTCATTGGTAAAGGGACTCCCTTTAACCATGGATGGAGACCACCGAGGTGCTTCCAAATAACCCATACTTAATGGGTCTTTCGACCTTTATAGCCGAGATACAGGGTGTTTTATCAATTTGGCCTATTTCTATCTGGACTCATAACTTATTAACCACCCTGTATATGTTTTTTGACATTTGGCGTACTTATTCACCGTAACTTACCAAATCTAAAAAGGTATAAACAAGAAACGAAATCCAGGTCCGTCTTTACAAAAAATTAATAAATTCGTCCATCCTTAAAACAACATCCTGTATGTGTGAATTTGAAATTTTTGTTTTCATATTTGAAAAGAACACAAAAAATTGAATCCAATAATGTACATTTTATTTTTGCGGAGACGATTTTACCACTGCAATTATAAGTCCAAATTGTTATTTTTGAGCATTTTGGAGGTAGAAACTGGAAACGGACGGAGTTTTATTAATTTTATTACGGTATTTTTAAAATTATTTAAAGAAGTATATTTCTAAAAGCTACAGATATGTCAATACTTATAATTGTATGCATCTACACTATTTCAAAAAATAATTTCAGGTCCGGTTTTAGGGCCAAAAATCAGAATTATTTTTTTTTCGACCGCACCCTGTATAAATTAATCCATGTAAGTTTTAATAAATAGTATGTAGGCTAATAATATGGAAAGAGACTAACATTCAGTAGAACAAATAATAACATTTACAACTAAAGGAAAAACACATAAATAATAGCTAATTAATACATAATAAACAAATCAAAATAACAACTAATAATACAAAGAAATACAAATGTTGGGAATGAAGTAATAAACCTTATTGCTACTAAAAACTACAAGAGTTGTTCAAAATGACCTCCATTTTGTTCGATGCATTTGCTTGCCCGTTTTAAAATATTGTTGACGGCTTTTCTGAGTACATCGGGATTATTTTTCATTTCTTCGCACGCGTTTTCTATCCTCCCAAGTAGTTCTTCCCTACTATTTATGGGAGTGGAATATACTTTTGTTTTTAGATGTCCCTAAACGTGGTAATCTAGCGGATTAAAGTCAGGCGATCTTGAAGGCCAATGTATGTAGTATACGAAAGGAGGTATTTAGGACCGAACGTTACATTCGTAAATAATAAATAAGTATAATTATTTTATTATTAGATTATCTTATAGGCCTTGGAATTGGAATTTCACATTTTTATGTCATTTGTATTTGCATCTTCTGTCAGTCATTATTGTTTTTTTAGTATTTTCCGTGATATTTTTTATTGTATTTGGTAATTATTAAAAATGCCATATCAATATACTAACGAAGAATACGCAGATATGATTTACATTTATGGTTTTTGTGATGGTAATTCTCGAGCTGCAAAAAAAGAATATGAATTGCGATTTCCTGGTTGAAGATCACCAAATTTCAAAATTTTATTCGCGTTTTTAATTACATGAGAAGATATGGTAGATTCCCAATAGCTCAATTAAACGAGCATCGTGAAAGGCAGCATTTGAATGTGGAACAAAATATTATAAATATGGTTAATAATAATCTAGAACTGAGCACAAGGAGAATTAGTTATGCATTTAATGTACCTCATACGAGCGTATGGCGACGACTAAAAAAACATTGTTTACACCCATATCATATTCAGGAAGTACAGAGGTTAGAAGCAGGCGATGAAATTCCTAGAATTAATTTTAGTAGGTGGATCCCCTTAAATCGGTGAATTGTACGTAGATGCATATTTACGGATGAGGCCCAGTTTACAAGAGACGGCGTGTTCAATTTACGAAACTCGCACATTTGATCGACAGAAAATCCATTTGCTGTAAGAGAGACCCATTCACAATACAAATTTTCAGTAAATGTTTGGTGCGGCGTCTTTGATAATAAATTAAGTGGACCACATTGGATAGGCAGAGGTGCTCCCAATCACTGGCCTTCAAGATCGCCTGACTTTAATCCGCTGGATTACCACGTTTGGGGATATCTAAAAACAGAAGTATATTCCACTCCCATAAATAGTAGGGAAGAACTAGTTGGGAGGATAGAAAACGCGTGCGAAGAAATGAAAAATAATCCCGATGTACTCAGAAAAGCCGTCAACCATATTTTAAAACAAGCAAGAAAATGCATCGAACAAAATGGAGATCATTTTGAACAACTCTTGTAGTTTTTAGTAGCAATAAGGTTTATTTCTTCATTTCCAACATTTGTATTTCTTTGTATTATTAGTTGTTATTTTGATTTGTTTATTATGTACTAATTAGTTATTATTTATGTGTTTTTCCTTTAGTTGTAAATGTTATTATTTGTTCTACTGAATGTTAGTCTCTTTCTATATTATTATCCTACATACTATTTATTAAAACTTACATGGAATAATTTATACATTGTGCGGTCGAAAAAATATTAATTCTGATTTTTGGCCCTAAAACCGGGCCTGAAATTATTTTTTGAAATGATGTAGATGCATACAATTATAAGTATTGACATATCTGTAGCTTTTGGAAATATACTTCTTTAAATAATTTTAAATATACCGTAATAAAATTAATAAAACTCCGTCCGTTTCCAGTTTGTACCTCCAAAATGCTCAAAAATAACAATTTGGACTTATAATTTCAGTTGTAAAATCGTCTGCGCAGAAACAAAATGTACATTATTGGATTCAGTTTTTGTGCTCTTTTCAAATATGAAAACAAAAATTTCAAATTCAGACATACAGGATGTTGTTTTAAGGATGGACGAATTTATTAATTTTTTGTAAAGACGGACCTGGATTTCTTTTCTTGTTTATACCTTTTTAGATTTGGTAAGTTACGGTGAATAAGTGCGCCAAATATCAAAAACATATACAGGGTGGTTAATAAGTTATCAGTCTGGAAAGAAATAGGCTAAATTGATAAAACACCCTGTATCTCGGCTATAAAGGTCGGAAGACCCATTAGGTATGGGTTATTTGGAAGCACCTCGGTGGTCTCCATCCATGGTTAAAAGGAGTCCGTCCCTTTACCAATGAAACACCCTGTATACATTAGTTTTTTTATAGAACATTACCTATACATAATTACGATTACGTTTTTAAGACGTTCTTATAAGAAATGATTCCAGAAACGTTTCTTTCTCAGATAACAATTATACATTCTTAGCATATTCTTAATATATTCTTTCTAAGAATATACATATAACTACTGAGAATATACTTTATTTGAATTTAGTACATTCTCAGAATATACCAAGTATATGTCGTTATGGAACGTCATTTATACGTGCTGGGCAGATACTGCGAATGTACTTCAAGTATGTGCACAGTATGCAATAAATATCTTCTTTCATTTTATAGTACGTTCTAAGTATATGCTAAGTATTTAAATTTAGCATATAAGGTAAGTAGGCCAAATAAGGCCCACTTAAGAAGAAATATTTTTAAAAAATAGTTTAAGCAGTTTTAAAAATCTGAGACTAAGGGATAAGAATTTTCAAATGATGTACTTTTGTTAAAAAATATTACATTTAAAAAATATACATGTTTTCTAATTATTTTTGTGATTTAAGAAGTGGAATCTTGTGGGCCTTATTAAGATCGTCATGTTCTTAATAAGGCCCACATCATATTCCAAATAAGGCCTATCATTAAAACTATGCTGGAAATATTGAAATGTGTCTTTTTCTTTATAAAAAATTTATTTAAAAGAAGTCTTAAAACATTTAGTCGCAATTTGGACACAAAAATGCATTTTCTTTGTCAATGGCAGTAAGCCCTACGCATTCTTCGTGCACATATGTATTGCATGCGACGCAAAGCCTCATATCCTTCATAACATCTTCTTGACATAAGTAACAAAACCAACTTTCGCCTTTTTTCTGGTTTTGGTCTTCACACATCTTTTTTTTTTTTTGAATTCCGCTAGGTCCTGGCACATTTTTATCTTGTTTCTGTTTTTGTCCAATATTTTCTTCGCAAATTTTTGTCTCGTTTTGTTTTCTTTTCTCATTTTGATCATCACCCGT